AGTACGGCTATCTATCCAAAACACACTCACACCCACTAGGTGTCTTGAGTGTCAAAAACAAAAAGCTCCTATCAAGTATACCTTTGCCTTGAGCTTTTTTGTTTTTCTCTTTCTTTTTTTCCAAGTGTAGAGCTTGATCACCATCATTACATGTCCACCAACATTACCATGGACTTCATCTTTGCTCCAACACTTGATGTGTACTCACCTATCTCATATTCACTTAGAGCCAAAGGTTAGTACCTAGGGTTTTATCAATTAACCAAAACCAAACTAGAGCTTTCACCGGACCATAGTGTGAGGGTCAGGTACCTAACCCTAGCTAGGTGGGGTTCTGGCGAGCTCCGGACCCTAGGGCTCTGGCCCATGGTCTAAGGATCTAGAGCCTTCCCTTTACTCTCGGGCGTGGCTAGCTATGCTTCTGACTTAGGTGCTGGCTCCAGACGTAGGGGCTCTGGCCCACCGGCTGCGGGTCTGGTTGGTGACCCTAGGCCACATGGCGTGATGGGAGATAGAGAGAGGGGGCTTCGGACCAAGGGCTTGGCCCGACCGCCCCAATCGGACTGAGTCCAGAGTGTTTTGAGGCTCTCGATAGCTCTCTGGACTGCCCGGACCTATCTGTGCGTTGGTCCGGACTGAGAGTCCAGAGCTCAGTCCGGAGGTGGCTGAGTGCATGAAAGTAGCCGTTGCTCGCCAACGGTTATCTTCAAATGGTCGGGGACACGTTACAGAGATCTGAGCGTCGGCCCCTGGTGTGGCATGGTCCGGACCCTGGGTCCGGAAACTGGGTCCGATAGCTCTTCGGCTGAGTTTTGAGCAACGGCTTTATTTGGCCTTCTGGCTATAAATAGAGGTGGTGTTCGGCCTTGGCTGACGTTGAGCACCTTGGGAGACTTAGTGTTCATGCTTGATTGTGCTTGGGAGCCCTCCAACTCACTTGTTCTTACAAGAGTGCAAATCGATTGCGAGTGAGTAATTCTAGTGCATTGCATTGTGAGATTGCATCGAATGGCACTAGGTGATCGAGTTACAAGCTGGTGGTGCTTGTTACTCTTGTTGTTTGCCGACACCTAGATGACTCGGAGATTGAGGGATCGTTGAGCAGAAGTGGTGATTGTTTCGACTCAGATCGGTTGGTTGTGAGGGGCATTGTGCCTTCCCTGGCGGAGCGTCAAAGGCAACTCTAGTAAATTGCTCGTGTCGTTGAGCGTCCTCATTTATGTAGGTTCTTACGGCGCTCGAGTGCTGGACAAAGCGTGGTGCCTATTAGCGCGTGAACCACTAAGTGAACGACCGACACAATAGAGACTAGCTTGCCGGCAAGCAAGTGAACCTTGGAATAAAAAATCATCGTGTCATCATCTTCCCGTGGGTTTGCAATCTCCATGCACAGCTTGTATTTATTCATTCATATATTATGCTTGTATAGTTGCTCTTGTAACTAATTAGTTTGAGTAGGTTGCTAGTTGCTTTGTTTGATTGTGTAACTTAGAAGTAGCTCCCTTGCGTAAGTAGCTGACTTGAGTAGCCTTGCTAGTTATATACTTAATTTGTGTAGCTAAGTAATTTGAGCTATGTAATTTGGTTTATATAGCTTTGTTATTGAGCATTGCTAGTGAGCTTAGGCTTTGTGCTTTTGCACACTAGTATGTGTAAGAGCTTCCGGTTGCTTGAGTATTAGTTATATAGGTTTGTGTGACCTTACTAACTGAATTGATTAGGTGAGCTCTATATAGCCCGACACCTTAGTTGCTTTATTAGAATTTTTGTAAGGTGCTTGAAAATATAGATAAAAGGTGTAGCATTGGCTAAACCGATAATTTTATTCTATATTTGTTTTGGTTAGCCAGTTTAATTAATATTTTAGAAAGGACTATTTATCCGTCCAGTACGCCGTCTGGACCCTGAACCGGTGACTTCTGTATCAAGATTCGTTCGCTATCTGAATACTGCTACTGGTACCACCTGCATGGATTTGCTTCTTGATCCTTCAGGTATTTGCTTTTGTTTTCTGATTTCTTGGGTCCGACTCTGACAGACAGCCAGTAAAATGGAATTACGTCCTCGAAGCCCTCGACGATATTGATAGGCAGACATTTGTATTCCAAATTTCCAATACAAATATTGAAAAAGAAGCAGTCTACCAACTTTTCTTTCATAAGTCCACATGCTGATCTCATGCATTACTCAATCAAGTCAGATAAAAAAATCATGTTACCATCGAAAAGGCAGAGATAACAAAGACATTTAAAAGAAGGATATACCCTAGCCATACGCATACCCCCAAACTCTATATAAGAACTTTTTAATGCAGCAGCAGTCACAAAACAAGTCATGTAATAGCTCCATAGCAGTCTCTGGGCTGTATCTCTGCGGTGTTGCTTCGACAATTCTCGGGCAGCTCGCCAGGGGGCTGTTGAAGCGCGAAACTCTATTCCTCCCAATGAAACACGCGCGTGAGCATGTTCAAAAAAAAAGTTAATCACTCAAGTTGTCCCATTCCCTAACCTTCCACTCACATCTGAACGGTAGATAATTCCGAAAGCCTTCTAGTCCTTGTTCACACGACAAGATGATCACTCATGGCGATATATGAAGAATCTATATGCAAAAAAAAAAAAAGACATATATGCCCGCTGAGGGTATATATGAAAAAAAACGTATACGCTTCCAGCCTTCGAGAAAGCAAGTACGTTCTACGTTGTTGCTGTCCAGTATCCAGATGCTCAACCGAGTCATCCGTGATCCCACCAAAAGGCCCCTGCCGGCTGCCGCCGTGCGAGATCGCTTCAAGTCTGCGCCCGTCCATTCGCAAGGCCGTCGCATCTTCCCCCGTCACTCGTCAGACAAAGCTCTTGCCTTGTAGCGTCCGGTCGCTGGCGACATCGCCGGACGCCCTAACCCACGAGACAGCTCCAAGTGCGCGCGTAGCAGAGAAGCCGCTGTCGCATCGACACCCTATTTTACGATGGCGAATCAGCTTCTGCACACGATATATACACACAGTAGTCACACTGGCGCGCACACACACATAACGACGACATCACAGCGCAGTACTATCTACGGGCACCGTTTAAATCTAGGGCCTTGTTTAGATACCCTCAAAATTCTAAGTTTTTTCACTCTCTTTCCATCACATCAATTTTTAGCTATTTGTATGGAGCATTAAATGTAGGTAAAAAAAATAATTAATTGCACAGTTTAGTTGAAAATCACGAGATGAATCTTTTGAGCTTAGTTGGTCCACGATTGGACAATATTTACCAAATAAGACGAAAGTGCTACTATTCATCGGGTTGAAATTTTTTGCAATCTAAACATGGCCTAGGTTGTAAAATCTTACGACGTCACGTCAGATATCACACGGAGGTGTCACATGAATTGTTTGGATACTAATAAAAAAATAAATTACAGAATCCGTTAGTAAACAGCGAGACGAATTTATTAAGCCTAACTAATCCGTTATTAGCACATGTGTTACTGTAGCACCACATTGTCAAATCATAGACTAATTAGGTTTAAAAGATTTATCTCGTAAATTAGACACAAACTATGTAATTAGTTATTTTTTAGTCTATATTTAATACTCCATGCATATGTCCAAACGTTCGATAGGATAGGTTGTAGCACCACATTATTTGATAGGAGGACGACGGCAGCAGCTTTCTGCGAGGTAGGTGAATCTGAGCCCTCCTCCTCTACCTTCTCTTCTGGATCTGAGCTCTTCTCCTCCTCTGGATCTGGATCTGAGGGACGCTGTGGTGGCTAGGGTTCCGGCGAGCTTTGTTGCAGTAACCTTGTTTTGCTGTTGCAACAAGTAATATTCCTTCGTTGCATTAGTCTCTTTTTTCGATGTTACATCTCGCATTGCGCTTTGTTTCTGTTGTTGCAGTATCGTTAATTTGCTGGCTCCGATCGACTTGCTGAATTGTGGCTGAAACTGGTTGAAAACATTGTTCTGGCTGAATTTTTTTGAGAGAAAAACAACATTCAAATCGAAAAAAACAAAATTTGAATAGTGTTGTTTTTCGGGTGGTAAGCGAGCGGGCATTGTTGCAACAAGTATTTTTTCTTTGTTGCATTAGTCTTTTTTTCTGATGTTGCATCTCGCATTGTGCTTTATTTTTTGATGTTGTAATAGCTTTGTTTTGCTGTTGCAATAAGTAAATTTTTTTTTTGCATTGATCTTTTTTTTCTGATGTTGATTTCTCGTATTTGCGCTTTTGTTCTGTTTTTGTTGTAGTAGCCTTGTTACGGTGTTGCAATAAGTAATATTTTTTGTTGCATTAGTTTCCATTTTCTGATGTTGTATCTCATATTGCTGTAGTTTTGTTCTGTTGCTGCAGTCGCGATGAGGATGAGAGCGTGATGAGGATGGACGCACCTAGCGTGGGTGCGACGGGGGATGGGCGGCGCGGTGGGATGGTGGGATGGCGGCGCCTGCAGAACGGAACGAGTCTACTGTTCCGTGAGGCGGCGGGGTGCTAGGTGCTTCGGTGTTTTGGTTGGGGATCAAAATGAGTCTACTGTTCTAGAGGCGGCGAGGGCATGGTTTCGTACATGGGAGCGGGACACTCGGACGGAGCTGGAGGTGCGTCCGGACACGCCCCTAGATCCGGCCGTCCGGAGGCTAGGAGCGCCGTTGCGAGATCGCTTGAAGTCTACGACCGTCCGTCAGCAAGACAGCAACTTCCCTCGTCAGACAAAGCCCTTGCCTTGTACTTAACGCCGGTCGCAACTCGCAATCAGTCGCTGGTGACATCGCCGGAGGCACAACAAAGCGACAAACCTCCAAGTGCGAAGCAGAGAAGCTGTTGAAAATTTGACATAGACACCATATTTTACGACGGCAATTCAGCTTCTGCTTAATAATATATATACACAGTGACAATGGCACACACAACGACATCACATCGCAGTACTCCCCTCCTCCGTGCTGATTGCAGTTCGCTTCGCAGGGTGCACGCCGAGTTCTCGTTCGTATCCTCCTGTTGCTCCACATGGGCACGGGAGGTGCAGCGCTGGTCGCCGCCGCCCTCGCCGTGGTGGTGGTCACGAGGCTGTGGACGGTGCTGTTCCACCTGGTGTGGCGCCCGTACGCCGTCGCGAGGGCGTTCGCGCGGCAGGGCATCCGCGGGCCGCCGTACCGTGTCTTCGTGGGCAACAGCAAGGAGGTTCAGGCGATGCGGGCGGCGACGAGCGGCGACACGCTGGACATCACCTCCCACGACTACATCCCGCGCGTGATGCCGCAGTACCGCGCGTGGATGTCGCTCTACGGTAAGGTGTTCCTGACGTGGTCCAGCTCGACTCCGGCGCTGTTCGTGGGCAGCTACGACATGGTGAAGCGGGTCCTCTCCGACAAGTCGGGGCTGTACGGCAAGCCGGACCCGGGCCCCACCATACTGTCCCTGATGGGCATGGGCCTCGCCTTCACCAACGGCGACGACTGGTCGCGCCACCGCCGCGTCGTGCACCCGGCGTTCGCCATGGACAAGCTTAAGTCGATGACGGGGGCGATGGCGGCGTGCGCGGCGGACGTGATCCGGGCGTGGGAGGCGCGCGCCGCCGCAAGCGGGGACGGGGAGGGGGTCACGGTGGAGGTGGGGCATCAGTTCACGGAGCTCACCGCCGACGTGATCTCGCACACGGCGTTCGGCAGCAGCTACCGGCAGGGGAAGGAGGTGTTCCTGGCGCAGCGGGAGCTCCAGTTCATCGCCTTCGCCTCCATCAACAGCGTGCACGTGCCGGGCATGCAGTACGTGCCCACCAAGGCCAACGTGCGCCGCTGGCAGCTCGAGCGCACGGTGCGGGGCACGCTCATGGCCATCATCGGCGAGCGCCTCGCCGTTGCAAAGGAGGCGAGGGGTTACGGCAGCGACCTGCTCGGCCTCATGTTGGAGGCCAACGCCGCCGGCGACGACGGCGGCAAGAGGCAGCAGGCCATGACCATGGACGAGATCATCGACGAGTGCAAAACCTTCTTCTTCGCCGGCCACGACACGACCTCGCACCTCCTCACCTGGTCCATGTTCCTCCTCGGCACGCACCCCGAGTGGCAGCAGCGGCTCAGGGAGGAGGTGATCTGGGAGTGCGGCGGCGCCGAGGTGCCCCTCCGCGGCGACGCCCTCAACAAGCTCAAGCTCGTGAGCCTCCTCCGCCTTAAGCTTACTACCTACATCCATCCTAAAAAACTACAAGGTTGCGAGCCACAATAAAGTGATTAACGTTTGATCAAATTTTTAGTAAATAATATTCGTATTTATGATTTTAAATTAATTTATTATTAGACTATATTTCATAATTAATTTGATGATACTTATTTGATATTATAAGCATAGATATTTTTTTTTTTATCTTAGTCAAACTTGAAGTACTAAAATATGATTTTTTTTTTTGGGACGGAGGTAGCATTAAACTAGCTATGCACACGGTGACCGCCGGCGAGCGTGCATCACAGCCATGGTCTTATGTTGTTTCGCAGGTGACGATGGTGCTGTACGAGACACTCCGGCTGTACGGCGCGGTGCCGATGATCTCGAGGCAGGCGATGGCGGACGCGGACCTCTGCGGCATGAAGGTGCCCAAGGGCACCCACCTGCTGATCCCGATCGCGATGCTTCACCGCAACGAGGAGGTGTGGGGCGCAGACGCCGGCTTGTTCAACCCGCTCCGGTTCCGGGACGGCATTGGCAGGGCGGCAGCGCACCCGAACGCGCTGCTGTCCTTCTCCTTGGGACCGCGGTCGTGCATCGGGCAGGACTTCGCGTTGCTGGAGGCCAAGGCCACGCTGGCGCTCATCCTGCGGCGGTTCGCGTTCAAGGTGGCGCCGGAGTACGTGCACGCGCCGGTCGACTTCCTCACGCTGCAGCCGTCGAAAGGGCTCCCGGTCGTGCTCAAGCTCTTGGATGTGTAGTAGAGAGGATTAGAAGCCATCTTTGTCAAGTTCCATTTGAACTGAAGTAGGAGTATAAATTTCCTACAACGTTCATGGGTGACCTTCCAGTCATTGATTAGGCTTCTATCCCCTGCAGTGTGTTATCTCAGTTTTGTTATCGTATTTCATAGTGGACCTAATAAATACTGTGATTTTGTGAACATATTGTGATTTTGTGAATGGATGGGCCAGGTCCAATCATCTTTTTTTTAAAAAAAAAAGGAAGAGGAGGAGGTGGTTTGGTTTTCAGCTAGACGCCACCTCGTACTAGAACTAGAACTAAAGTAGGAGTATAAATTTCCTACGGCATTCATGTGTGACCTGGCAAGTCATTAATTAGGCTTCTGTCCTCTGCGACGCCCTGTTCGTATGAACTTATCAGTGTGGCTTATCAGCTATGGTACAGTGTATTTCTCTCACGATAAATCAGCGAACGGTTCTTTTCAGCCTGACTTTTCAGCGAAGCGAACAAGGATGTGTTTCCTCAGTTTCGTTATCGTATTTCACAATGGAACTATAATATTGTGATTTTGTGAACATACTTACTCCTTCGCGGTTGCTTGATATTTTGCAATTGCATCAGTCACCCGCCTCTCCATGCTCTTTCTCCCACGCGTCGCGCCCACGCCAGAGATGAAGAAGAAGATGGTGGCAGTGTCGATGTTTCACCACCGATAGCCTGCCACGGGGTCTCCGGGGCAGTTTGTTCGGGTTTCAGCGTATCCGGAACTCGACGGTGAACGCAAGAGACAGTCGATTTATCCTGGTTCGGACTCTCGATCGTTGACCGAGTAATAGTCCTACGTCCAGCCGGCATTTGCCTTTGCGTTGGATTGATTGTGAAGTATATTGTGTCGTCTCGTGAATCCCGTCTCTAGGAACCCTGCCCTTCTTTATATAGTCAGGAGGTCAGAATCCTAGTCGGTTTGCAGTGAGAGTTCCTAGTAGGATTACAGAATAATAGTACTACTAAGATTACATAGAAAGAATCCTAGTTAGACTAGATCTTCACCCCTCCTTACGGGGTATTCTGTGGGTCCCGCATCAACAAGCCCCCGAGCACTTCATGGTTGAGCTCTGAAAGCCTCGTCTTGTTCCTTCAGGTCTTGCCGAGTAGAAACAAGCGTCGCCCGAGTGCTTTCTGGAGTGAAACCATATAGCGCTTCGTGAGATCTTCGCGTGGTGTGTACCCTTCTCTTTTTTTTCACCAGCACCCAGCTGGGTGCAGCCCCCGAGCCTCTTGCTATTTGGAACAAGAAGCTGGAGGGTCTTGTCTTGAAATTGCTCTGATGCTTCGTCGAAGGGCTCCCGAACATATACCCGGGTTCTTTATAAAAAAGAACTCGGATATAGCTCGGTCCGGGTTCTTTTTCTCGTGAGGTCTTGAAGTGGTCTGTCTTGAAGAAGTCTTTTTGGTGACGTGCGTTTTTTGAAGAAGAAAAATGCACTCACTAAGTGTAGCCTCCGAGCCTCTTGCTTTTTGGAACAAAAAGTTAGAGGGTCTTGAATGTTATGTTGTTTGAAAGCTGCTGTCTTGAAGAAGTCCTCTGAGTGATGTGCGCTTTTTGAAGAAAAAATTGCACTCACTGAGTGTAGCCCCTGAGCCTCTTACTATTTGGAACAAAATATTAGAGGGTCTTGAATCTGAGTTGTTCATAGGACTAAAATCCTTTCTCTTTTGCAGCCCCCGAGCATATACCTGGGTTTTTTTATTTTGAAAAGAACTCGGATACAGGATCTTGGCGTGTTCTCTGGTAGTCTGCTGTTGTCAGATGTAGTTGTATGGTGGTAGTTGAGAGTAAATGTTGTTTGTTCACGAGTTGTACAGTGTTGGTATATATTCTTCCGAATATGCTTGTTCTTGAGTACTGCTCCTTCACGCCTGAGTCCTCTTTCATTGATTTCTATCTTTTCACTGTGTCCTTTGTTAGGTTTGTTCCATTGGTGCTCCCGGTCCATATGCACTGCTTGTTTGGTCTATAAATACCCTCCTGGTGTGCTGTTTTGATTCATCGAGCATTTTGTTGCGTGGTCTGAAATTTCTGTAGTCATGAATATGATAGTTTGTGAAGTAGAGCAGCCCTCGGGCGTATTTTGTAGTTTTTGTATATCTTGTCGTAGCTGGAGGAAGTCTTGTGATAGGGATTAGAGGTAGACTAATCTCGCAGCGGCATTGCTCTGGGAAGTACGTGGCGGTAGTTGGAGGAAGTCTTGTGATGTGAGATACGTTCCTTCATCCAGCAGTTCTGGGTTGATCTTCGCTGCCTGCCCTGAGACTGTCCTGTGCAGATCAACACCATATCCGGTATCACATCGGACTTGGGTAGACAGATGCATGTAGGCTTCTCTTGGTCCACGTTGTCCCGTCGTGCTGCTGATCTCTGCCTTGGATGTGCTGCGTTCTTCCTTTGAAGAAAACAGTGTAGTCGAGAGCGGTTTGTTCTACCGAGTAGCAATTTAGAACACGTAGTCGTTCCAGAGCCTAGTTGCGTCCGGATTCCTTTTTGCTACATTGCCTGTTGTAGTACCGAGTTCGTTGGGTCTTGTAAGATGTGTAATCATGTATTTTTTGAAGCCATTTGTAATGAAAAGAATCTTGTCTTCTGAGTTGTCATTCTTTATTCTGCTGATGTCCCGGTTGTTTATGAGATTCCCGAGTTCTTTCTATAAGAACCGGGTTCTTGTGTTCCTTGAGAGGTAACCTTTGGTTGCTTCATGGTTGATGAGTTCTTTTTGTAGCAATATGATAACTTTGCCGTGTTTCTTGATGGATAAGTCTAAAATCTGCCCGTTGAACTGTACCGTTGTGTGGATTTGTGCCGTTCGTTATTTTAGCTGTGTCAGTAAATGGACCGTTGCGTTCTCATGCCGTGTTTAAATGGGCCTGGTGGGCCGCGTTTTTACTGCTGTAAAATCTATTTAAAGGCATTTCTTCTTCTTTTTCTTTACTGCCCTGCTTTTCCCTTGAAACCCTAGTCCGCAAAATTCCGCCGTCGCCATTGTCATTGTCCTCCGGCGCTGCCGTCTGAGCCTCACTGTTTCTTAGTTCTTTTTTGCTTTCGCTCGTATATGGGTAGGAAGAAATCAGCAAGCAAGTCTTAGGCGGCCTTTGTAGACGAAGAGGCATCACTTTCCGTGATTGAGAATCAAGAGTTCATGGACATGAGGGCCGCTCAGAAGATCTGGCCGGCTCTGGCTACGACTGAGGATCAGTTGCGCAAGCTTGTTAGCGATGGTCTGATCTAGAGCAAGGACGTTGTTGAATGGAGGGCTCCGAGCGAGCATCGGGTCCCCGTTCCAGGTCCTGGTGAGATTGTTCTTTTTGTCTCCTTTATCCGTGCTGGGTTCTGCCTTCCTGCTTCTGCTTTTCTTCATCGATTTCTTGGTTATTTTGGGATTAGCTTGAACCATCTTGCTCCCAATGCCGTCCTTCATCTTTCTGTTTTTGTTCATGTTTGTGAAACTTTACTTGGAATTCCTTCTTCTCTTTCTCTCTTCCGTTACTTCTTCCGTCTGAAGCCTCATCCCCGCCGCGATGACACCCATGTTCATGCTGGCTGCGGGATTCAGTTTCGCCAAGGTCTTAAGAATAAATTCTTTGATTATGACTTGGTTGATTCTGTGAGGGATTGGCATGCCGACTGCTTTTATGCCGCCAATATGATTCCTCCTCTTACCGTTCACTTTGGATCTGGTCCCGTGGTGAATGACCGTTGGGAAAAGAATCCCCTGACGTCGGCTGAGCTCCAGGCGATCAAGCCATTTCTTGAGAGGATATGCACTCTGAAACAGTAAGGCTTGACTGGCTTCAGAATTATTTCTAGTTTTCTTCGCCGCCGAGTTCAGCCTCTAAAGGAACGAGAGAATCTTGGGTTCGAGTACTCGGGGGCGGAGGACCCTACTCGTATGGTCCCTGCCCTTGAGTTGACTGATGAGGAGGTACTCGAGCGTCTTCAGAAGATGCTGAAGGGAGTAAGCGTCGTCCCGCTTGCTGTCCCTGAGTTCTGTGTTAACAACCCGCCTCCTGCTGTGAGTCGTTTCTTCTTATGCGGGTACTTTTTGTATTTCTTTTGCTGTATTGACTTTTTGCTCAATTTTTCTTGTCTTGTTGTTTTACTCTTTTATAGGAATGGGAACGTAACTTCATTGATCCAATTCCCCTCGATGATTGCCCTGGCAATGTGGAGGCTGGGGACAGTCTTGTGAGGCATCCTTAACCAGTAAGTTTCAAACCACTACGATGTTTTCTGGTGTTTCTTCCGCAAACCTTGATGTATATGTAGAGTATGTTCCTCGTCCAGTTCCTCGAGCTCCTCGTAGTGTCGGAAAGAGGGGGCGAGCTGAAAGTTCTTCTTCTGGTTTGCCTGCTGCCAAGAAGTCTCGTCAGTCGAGTACTCGTCCAGGTACTCTAGTTGTAGGTAGCGTGCTCCTAGGTGAGCATATTAATATGTTTTATCTTTTTGTGGTTTGCCTGTGCCTTTAACCGAGTACTTTTATCCTTTTTCAGATGGCGCTATGGCTGCCTTGCTTGAGAGTGAGGAAGAAGAGGACGATGATGCGCCCCTTGTCCTGCGTCGGTGAGTTGTTTTCTTGTTTTTCTGTTGTTGAACACCTCTTCCTGTTCTAACTTTGGACTTGTCCTCTTGTAGTAAGCGGCCGTCGAGCTTGAGTTCTTCTAGGGCTCCGGTACCGGCCACGCCGCTCTTGCCGCAGAGCGGCGGTGATGTTTTTGCTGCCATAGTTCCTCCTGTAAGGTCTTATTTTGGTTTTATGAAGAAGAAGATAGCTGAGTGAGTGATTCCTTGTTATCTTTCTTAGCTTCAGTTTTCATTTTTTCCTGACTCATATTCTTATCGTCGAGTTTCCTTATCATCTTGCAGACCCTCGCCTTCTCTTACTCCTCCGCCGCCCTCTTGCCAGTCTTCTGGTGCGCCCCCGCGTACTGAGTCGAAGGACTCGGAAAGTACGGTCGGTGAGGT